AAAGGGAACCCTCCTACACTGTTGGTAGGAATGCAGTTTGGTTCAGCCATTAAGGAAAACAGTATGGATATGCCTCAAAAGACTAAAGATAGATTCACCATATGATCTAGCAATCCCACTCCTGGGCATATATCCAAAGGGAACTCTAATTTGAAAAGATACATGCACCCCAATATTCATAGCAGCACTATTTACAATAGGCGAGATATGGAAGCAACCTAAATATCCACTGACAGGTGACTACATAAAGAAGTCGTGGTGTACACACACACACACACACACACACACAGAGAATGGAATACTACTCGGCCATAAAAAGAATGAAATATTACCATTTGCAGCAACATGGATGGACCTGGAGATTGTCATACTAAGTAAAGTCAGTCAGGGAAAAAATACCATATGATACCACTCATATGCGGAATCTACAAAAAAAAAGAACACAAATGAACTTACTTATAAAATAGAAACAGATTCACAGACATAGAGAATAACACTGTGGTTACCGGGGGAAAAGGGGGATGGGAGGGATAAATTGTGAGTCCAAGATTTGCAGATACTAACTCCAATATATACATAATAAACAAGTTTCTTCTGTTTAGCACAGGGAACTATATTCCATATCTTGTAGTAACCTATAATGTAAAAGAATATGAAGAGGAATGTATGTATCTGTATGACTGAAGCATCATGCTGTACACCAGAAATTGACACAACATTATAAACTGACTATACTTCAATTTTAAAAACTAAAAAAAATCTAATTATCCCCAAATAAGAAAATAATAAATCTTATGCATACTTTACTAATAAAATTATTTTATACTAAAAATGTATATGTAGTATATATATTTCTTTGACAAAATGGGCAGGGTGGGAACGAGGGGTTTCTGAAGAAGTAAGGGGGTAAAGAACAGAGACTGAGGGGCTCTGACTTTGGAGCTGAAGCTTTTTCCTTGTGCACCAGGTGCATAAAGTAGAAAGACGTTTCTCTGAAAGTTTTCCTGTTTTTATTTTATCGAAGCAGTCAGTTTCAGTGTGTCAATTTCTCATGTACAGCACAATGTCCCAGGTATGCATGTACATACATATGTTCTTTATCATATTCTCTCTCATTAAAGGTTATTACAAGATACTGAATACATTTCCCTGTGCTATACAACAGAAACTTAGTTTTTTCTTTAATCCATTTTTATACACAGTGGCTAACATTTCCAATTCTCAAACTCCCAAATTTATTCCTTCTCACCCCATTTCCCAGGTGACCATAAAGTTGTTTACTATGTCTGCAAGTCTGTTTTGTAGATGAGTTCATAGTGTCCTTTATAAAATTTTTTTAGATTTCACATATGAGTGATATCATATGGCTTTTTTCTCTTTCCTGCTTACTTCCGGAAGATCTTAATGGCC